ATCACTCGTGTTCCCGAGGTACTGCGCAAGCACGAACAGCTCCTGCTCCACCGTGGGTGACAGGTGGATCACGTGCCTCCTGAACTTGTTCAGCCGCGGCTGTAAAAACAGTGGGTCAATAAAGGCTAAATCCGTCACGGTTAGTAAAGGTAGAATAGCAATACCAGCAAACATGTGAACATGTTTATCTTCTAGTTCTTTTTGTAGTAGTTGCACCGCGTTAGACTCAACTACTACAAGTACCTGTGAGTGAAGGGGATGAGATGTAGTACTTGATGATTCATGAAGAATGCCCGCGGCTACACCAACATAAGACTCATCCATTGCACGCATTGCCATTGGATTATCTGCGAATATCATAGAGATCCCATTTAACGGTGAAGAAAGAGTTAAGCTTGTGCTGTAGCACTGAAAAGGATCAACTGTCATCAGATCATCATCCATATTTACGGCACGAAAGTTCTCCACAAAATGATACATAAACACCGTGCGACCACCTTGGTTACAGCGGCAAACGGCTCCCATGGAAACAGCAGTATCGCTGCACTCACCACCGAATTCCCCAATCACAAGTTCATCAATCAAATACCGGCGCTGGTTAAACAGAGATGTAATGAAGGTATCCATGTCCTTTAGCCATAATCTGCTGCTTATCGCTTGCATAAAGACCTCACCAGACATCCACCCAGCAACCATCATCGCACCATCATCATCATTTTTGAGAAAGTGCTGATGGTCCGTAAAGAAAGTCTGTCCGCTTTCTCTTAGATACTTCTCCATTGCTGTTTGGAATCGTTCCATAGCTACATACCGTGTGTCCGTCGCGAGTGGGTTCGTCCCTGTCGTAATTACTTGACCACTCACAAACGGAACACCTGCCTCTACAGCCCGACGCCATACACGTACCAACATTTCCTGCACACCTGATGGACCTAATAGATAGGCACCAGCAGTACGCTTGTCTGTCAGCATCCGCTGGATGAACTTCGCAGTATCTTGTAGAGGAGAGCCAAATATCAAAACAGCTTGGGGGCGGGTGTCCGCGAAGGCCTCCCAAGTAGCATTGAAAAGAGCATCTTCAGCAGGAACAGTAAGAGAGCTCTTCACTGTAAACACACTACTTAATTCGTAACCAATTTTTGACAGAACATTTAGTAATTGAACGTATTCAAGGTCACCATATGCCACACCTTGCAGATACATGAATCCCAGTCTTCTTACTCGCAGAGAACCAATAGCGTGGCGTACCATTGCCAATAATTCAGCACCAGGATCAGGGCGTACAAAGTACAAGTTTGGATCCCATGTCCTTACGTTGCTGGAAATAGTTAGTGGTCCAAATGCCACAAGATTGTGTTTCTTAATGGCAGACATAGCGTACGACAATGGTGCATCACCAAAAGGTCCTTGTACAGCCATTATTTCAGGGTGTTCATTTATTGCATCGTCAACAGTGGCTCCAATTTTCGCAATTGCGGTTTCTTTAAGAATTATTTCAACACGAACTCCCTCAACTGTGGTGAAATTATATGAAAAAAGGGAGGCATTAAATCCAGCATCTATACCATTTATAAGGTTTGCGGAAACTGGATAATCTATTAGTCTAAATGCCAACAACTTTACAGTGTCATTTTTTATACCGGTGCCTTGGCACAGTGCGCTGTGTGGGGTGTACACCAGCAGGTGGATGAGGCACAGCAGTGCAGTGAGGCACAGCAGCGGGCGGAAGTACGTGCGGCCGCAGCAGTGTGCCACACCTGTGGCCTTGGGAGTGTGGAAGTGCATAGCTTGTGTCTTGAAACTGCAGGGAGAGTACAAAAATAAAAGAGAAGGGAATAGAATGCAAAGAGAAATGAGGCACAGGTTGTGTGGAGAGTCCAGTTGTAACAATAAGCACAATTCAATGTACAATAAAACAATGTGAATTATATGGGTAATGGGATGACTTGTGGCACCGAGCATCACCACAACAACACAGTAACACACAGCACAGAACATTTCGTGGGTGCACAAGGTACCACTCAGGTGTACAGCGAGGCCAGTAAAGCCACCTGTCTCGCAGATGCATAAGGTCCTGCAAACACACAAAACACATGCACCCCTGAAATATGGAACAGCAGATGCATGCTCCCCTCGCCAGTGAGAACAGGTGTTGCTTGGCATCCCACAGAGGCCGCATAACGACAGTTGTGATGGTGCACACGCACATGAAAGGAGGGAGTCAACATCAGAAAAATATAAAGAATAAATACACAAAAACGAGAAAAAAAAACATGATAACACAGAAACAGTAAAGACAAGACATTCTATGTTTTTTTTTTTTTTTTTGGTTTTGTCTAATCACATTTACCAAGTATTCACACTTCACCGCCACTACACCTAATACTTGGACGGTGCACGAAATTGAGGAATACTCCAAACGACAATAGAGAGAATTATATATATATATATATATATATATATATATATATA